TCTTTCCCTGCTGTCTTCAACCTTTCCTGGCCTTGGCTTTTCCAATGAGGCTTGTCTTTCCGCGGTGTGACTAAAGCATGATAACTTCTGTTGAGGCATTTTAGCTTCCAGCAGTGTAGTCACTAGGAAAAGTTTGTCTTGCGCTGTACCTTATCAGGGCTGCTGCCAAGGGGGGGCTTGCAGTGTGTTTGGTGTTTCCCATGTCAAAATTATGTATGGTGTATTGGGGGGAGGGGAATGTGGGAAAAGGCTAGGCTGAAAAATGTTCTCCTTGGATTGGTTTTTTTTATGTGTGCAGAGGGATTAAGGGAATATTCAAACATATAAGCCCCTCACTTGCACTTTGAATGAAGAAAGTAGTCACCCCCCTTCTGTGTCATTTTGTTGTTTGTGTGAACTGGCCCTGATTTTGACCATGATTCACACAAAGGGAATGTTTTTGACACAAGCCCCCTCCCCTCTGGGTTACTCTTGTACATAGTTCTTATATGCCAGTAAATACAGGTGCATTCTGCAAATATAGATTCATTCCTGACTGCCACCGAAAAAGTACCTTCTCTTGTTCTTTACATAAGTGTGAAGAGGAACCATCATATCCTTTCACTTTGTTTCCTCTGTGGCTTGGGTTGTTCCCTGCTGGGGTGTGAGTTGTTTAGAATTCATTGCCCAGTTCTGAACAATAGAGAAACAGCCCACTTTCTGTAGGAGGGAAGCAAGTTTTATTTATTTCAATGGGGCTTGCTTTCTCATGAGTGTACTTCAGATTGCAACTAAAAATGTTCCATTTTAAATTCTGAAATGTACTTCTTTTTAAACTAAGCGTGCGTCAAATCTCATCGTTTTGTCTTTTGGGCACAGCTTATATTACAAACAGTAAAGATTTTATACGGAGACTGCTTTTCCAGTTTTTGTTGCTTAGTTTCTAACAACTGTTCTGGATAGCTCATCAATGCTCTTATTTTATAGATGAAGAACTAAGGCAAACAAATAGGTGTTGGAGCCAGAGAAGAAAGTAACCATGAAAAGCCCCTCCTGAGGGCTAGAGGACCCTCTGGAATGGCATGGGACTGTGGCACAGTGGCTTACAGGTGGAGGAGGGCATTGAGAACTCAGTCTTTGTATACAGAAGTGATCACATAGGAACCTCTTTATAGTTTAGCAATTGTGTCTTTGTATGTAGCTATACAGTTTGATAGTTTATATTTATACATTCGGCTTATATACCACTCTGACCCCGAAGGGTCTCTGGGCGGTTTACATACAAAATCTAAGTCTACTTTCCCTATCTACGGCCACATGGTACAGGGGCAGGGGCTGCCTACCGGCACCCAGGTGGTGGGGCTTGCTGTTCTCCGGCTTGGCTCCTACTTCTTCCGGCGGTCTTCAGGGTCGGTGCTTTCGTCCTGGCGTCCAGAGCTAGGTCTTCCTTTTTTGGGGGTGGCTTTCTTCGGTGGGCCCATCTGGTTGAACGCTCATATTGGGAGTAACCAACAGGTAAGGCCTTGTATCATGAATACTAGGATCATTTAATTTCCTTGAACCATGGGAACCTCCACATTTTATTGTTTGATCTTAAAAGTTAGTCTGCATATACACACACCCATACAGTTGTATTCTTATTTATTTACTTCATTTGTACCTTGTATTGCCTACTTCTCAGGGTTGTTGCGAAAATAAAATGAAGGAGAGGAGAACCTTGTACGCTGCTTTGGGTTCCTTATAGGGGAGAAATTTAGATATCGGAAATAAATGAGGTATCTCCTGTTCTATAATTGTTCAGTGATCTCAGTTGCTAACCCAGATTACATCAGCTTTTTATGTGTAAGAAGCCGGGGGTGGGTTATATCAACTGCCTTGTGAGTTTTTCATAGCAGTGGTTTGCAGTGCAGTCCTAAGCAGAGTTGCACTATTCTCAGTCCACAGACATGTGGAACACATGAAGCTGCCTAGTACTGAATCAGACCATGGGTCCATCAGGGTCAGTATTGTCTACTCAGACTGGCAGTGGATCTCCAGGGTCTCAGGAAGTCTTTCACATCACCTACTTACCGGATCCTCATAACTGAAAATGTTGGGTATTGAACCTGGGACCTCTGGCATATCAAGCAGATGTTCTACCACTGAGCCATGGCCCTTCCCTGAATTTATAATAGAACTAATGGGACTTTGGAGATATTTTTTTGCAATATACTTTGGTTTTTGTTTTGTTTTTTGCCGTGACGCTACAGTCAATTAATGGTGACCTTGTAGGGTTTTCAAGGCAAGAGACATTCAGAGGTGGTTTGCCATTGCTTTAGGCAGTGAAAAAATATTAAAAAATATTTTCATTATCTTACATTTCATTTAGCTATGCTGGCTCACAGTGTATATATTATTTGGCCCCAGCAAGAGAGACACATGGTAGGGAAGAAACCACGCTGAGTTGCCCACTGTCTCATTCCAACCTCTGATGTTTCATCTTCCAGTTTTTTGGGGAGAGAGATGACTATAATGAGCAAACTCCAGGAATGCAGTTTGTGTTTTAGCACAGTTTTAACAGCAATGTTTATCTGAGATTGCAAGGAATGAAAAGTTATTTTTCATTCTCTTTAGGTAATTCGACTTCTGAAAGACGGCAAGGCAAAGGAGGTTTCCTATAATGCTCTGGCATCACACATAATTTCAGAAGATGGAGACAATCCCGAAGTTGGAGAATCACGTGAAGTATTTGATCTTCCTGTAGTAAAAGTGAGGACCTATAATACTACTACTGTTTGTATATCCTTTCCTGCAGCAAACTGCTTTAGAGCAGGGAGCTATTCACTTCTGTACCTGAGGATCTGCCCTGATCTGCAAAAAAGTACTGTATATGGGGGAGAGGATGTTTACGCTGATAATAGGAAGAGAATTCAGCATGTTCCTCTGCCAAGTGGCCAGCGCTGTACTGGTTGATAGCCCAAATTGCCTCGCTGGTAAAGGGAGAATCAAGAAATCCTCTGTCCAGGATCCAAAAGGACTGCAGGAGGTTTATACTCTATTATTTGAACAGCTGTCACCCATGCTGCATGGAAAACCCTTTCTGCAAGTGAGGAAAGTTTGAAAAATAGGTTGTGGTATAACATATGGGATCTGCTTTTTAAAGGGAAAAGTTGCTTGTTTTTTAAAATCCCACTGGACATGCTAAAGCTCATTTGTGTTCCAAGGTTCAATGCATGAATCAGAATGAAGCTATCTTACTGTGCTGTGTATACGTTCACCTGCTTCTCAGAGAGCACTTGTGAAACATACTGATTAACTTAAATTTGCTACATATTTTCCAATAACTAGAAACCGAGCTATTGTTAGGAATGTGATATGTGTGTCTGTGATCAACTTAACAGATGCATTTTTAAAAAATTCTTTTCAGCCTTCCTGGGTGATTTTGTCAGTTCGATGTGGAGCTCTTCTGCCGTATCCTTTTTTTCTTGAGTTAAAATGTCCTAAAATAGTGTTATCTTTCCTCCTGATCAGAATCTTCACATTTGAGTGCCTGCCAATCAGAAGGACAGTGTAACAGGGTCAGTCACAGCCATGGTAGGTGTTTTAGCATGCTTAGGGACTCCCCATGTGTGTAGAAAAATATTACTTTGCAAGTTAAGAAGAAATGCACTAAATAATGGCATGTTGAGGATTCAACTTGCTGATTGCTCTCTAGGAGTTGGGGAATGAGGGCAGTTAAGTGCTAGGTCAGGCGACAGGCATATATCATTTCCCCCTTGCAGCTGTCAATGCAGTAGAATGACAATGGGGCTTTCACAGCTCAGGTTTCTCTATAGTTTCCCTAATTTATGACATGCAAATGTTTTATATGAAATAGATTAGGTATTGTGTACCTTGATTTAATATATCTTATTTACCCATGGCTTGATATAACATGACTGTAATAACTGTTTTTGTAATTGAAAAAAAATAGTTTTATGTGTAACATTTTGCTTTTAGTGGAGTAAGCCGCTTCACAGATCATGCTTAGGAGTGCTAGGTAAAAAAATTATGTCAGTTGTTTTCACATTTTAATGGTAACTTAGTTGTGTTTAACAAAGCTTGAGTTCAGTGGCACCTCTAAGACCAACAAAGTCTTATTCACGGTATAAGCTTTCATGTGCAAGCACACTTCATCAGATATAGTGGAACAGAACCTCCTCAACCATTACTTGTAGGGGGTGGGGTGGGTGTTATTGTCGGGAAGGGCCATTTATGGATGTAAGAAAGATCTGTGATACAAATTCAAGAGTTAACAATCAGATGTGGGAAGAGGCTTGAGTCCAGTGGCACCTACAATACAAGTAAAGTTCAGTTCTGGGTACAAGCTAGAGCTGAGAGACTTAGTATCTAAGCTCCTTCGGATTCATTGAAACAGATTTCTTTAAATATTACACATAGGTGGATGGGTAGTTGCCAGGAAGAGTGAATTAGAGCCAAGATACCTAAGTAAGAATTTAATTGTGTTTATATTATCCTTGACGCCTCTCTTTGTCAGAGTGAATGGTTTCTCCCCAGAATCCTGTCAGATCTTTTTTGGAGTTGTTGCTTGTCCATCTCAGGTAAGAATGGATTGTTTGCTAGAATGTGAGATATCTAGAATGTGAGATATCTAACTAGAATGTGTTTCTCAAAATTTGGTATGAAAATAACTTTCCCTTTCTGGTAGGTTTCTTCTGAAGATCGAAGTACGCTGTGGGCTTTGATTACTTTTTATGGTGGGGATTGCCAGTTGAGACTCAATAAAAAATGCACTCATTTGATTGTACCTGAACCAAAAGGGGTAAGTGTTTTATTGTATGTACTTGTTTCTCTATTTTGTTCTGCTTTGCCTTGCTGAGAGGCAATCAACATGGGTTCTCTTGCCAGCCTTTTAGGCGTTTTTAGGGATAGATAGGGTTGATTTAAGAGATACATATAAGGAAATTTAACAATCATGGGTCCGCATGGCTTAGTAATGGGTTAAAAAAATGAAAGCGAGAATAGCAATAAATGGATGACCTACCAATGCAGAAACGTTAACAATGAGTTCCTCCAAGAATCTCTTTTAGAACCAGCATTGTGTAACTCATAAATGATAACTGATTAGAGATTAATAATGTCAGAGACTTATTTTGTACTTAGTATTTACTATGGCGAAATCATGAAAAACTGTAAAGATCTCTCATTAGACAGCAAATAATGCCTGTAATGAGTGACATCATCAAACTGGGTATGTGTGCAACCAAGCTTGCTTCACCTGTATTTCACTTGCATATCTAAATGGCCAATTTTTGCTGGACTGAAAATCTCCTAGTACTCAAGTTTCTCAAGGATTATTTTCAGCTTTGTGATGCAAAAGTTCCTGTGGAAGTTGTAAAAAGCTTCCCAGAACCGGGTTGGAAAATATTACAGTTTCCTGGTTTGTATATAAAAGTTTTGGCAACACAGATCTTGATAAATTTCTGATAACTAGCAACTAAAAAAAATATTTTTGAAAAATATTTTTTCAACTCTTAAGTATAATTACTGGGTTTATTATTAATTTATCAGAGCAAGTCCTATTGCTTTTATGAAAATAATTTCAATAAATATGAAGCATATCAGCTAGTAGAAACAGGAAACAGCCGCAAGCAGTGATGCATTGTTTGGGAGTACCAGTCCTAGCTCTCTAGTGTACATGTTTTATCTGAAATAGCATTGTATCATAGTCTTAGATTCTTAGGGGTGTTATGCCTTGCTGTACCTGTATCTGGGGGCATGACCAAAAACATGTAGCAAGTCTGTCTGTTGGGAGTCACAACTGTAGCATACATCTGGATGCATATGATAAGTAGTTGTCAATTGATCTGTTGTCAAGCACCAATGGTGATAATCTTGAAGAAATTCACCTTCAGATGAAATGAATTTAAACTCAGTAGGATATTTACTCAAATACAATTCCACATGTTCAGTGATATTTCTACGTTTAAAATTTTGTCCCATTTCTGAAAGGAAACACAGAGGTGGTTCTTCCTTATCTAAAGGTTGGGCATAAAAATATGCCGTGCAACCTTTGGTGACAATAACATTTCAGACTTTATTTTATGCTACCCATCATATTTTCTAATCAGTTCAGATAAAATTATTTTTTCATATCATAGAAAACACATCTCGTTTAATTAAATGTTTAATCCTGTAAAAAATGTTATATGGGATAGATTGAAAATGTGTTTAAATTATCCCAGCTTTTTAGATCTATTTCATTGTGCCTATATTTCACAGTGTCAGTTTTTCTTAAGGGCACAAATCACGTAATTTAAGGGATTTGCTACAGCTTGAGCATCCTTACGTGGCAAAAACTATTCTTTCAGGAAGATCAGTTGTGCTGCTGTATAAACATCAGCGACCCTGATGCTTTCCTGACTGCTGGCCTGGACATTTAATTAGTCACTGTCCTATAATTTATTGGAATTTTTATAAATAAGAATAACATTTTTTGGCAAAATATCCCTACCGATGGCAGAGATAAATATCTTGGTTGGAATGATAAATTTCATGATAGAGTTCACCCTGGCACATGGAGGTTTTTTTAATTTTGTGATTTTTTTGCAGTATTTATTTAAATAAAGTGTTTCAGATTTTGAAAGTAGCATGGGTGACAACTGTAGTAACTGCTGAGAATTTCAAAACTGTTTGCACATATTAATGTACTATAGTAATTTTAAATAGACTGAAAATAACTCATCACACTTTTAGGGCATTAGCATATTAGAAAATGAAGAACACAATTAATTATGGTTTATTTCAACACTGTAAATGTTTAAAATTAGTATTCAGTTATCTAAATAACACTGTCTTTTTATAAATACTACTGGAAGGAAAAACTGTGTAACATTTTATTCTTCTCAGGAAAAATATGAATGCGCATGTAAACGGGAGAATGTTAAAATCGTGACACCTGACTGGGTTTTAGATTCCATCTCTGATAAAACCAAAAAAGATGAGGCATCCTACCATCCTCGGTTAATTATATATGAGGAAGAGGAGGAGGAAGAAGAGGAGGAGGAGGAAAATGAAGATCAGGATTCTCAAAATGAAGCTAGTACAGATGAAAAATTATCAAGTCCAGCATCTTCTCGAGAAGGGTCACCTTTGGGTGATCCACCTTTTTCACCTAAATCTATTGATGCTAACAAAACAAAAGGAGAACTGATGTTTGATGATTCTTCAGATTCCTCTCCTGAAAAGCATGAGAGAAACTTGAACTGGACACCCGCTGAAGTTCCGCAGGCTGCTACTGCAAAGCACAGATTATCATCTGGCAAGGATTCCGGATTGATTAATTTGTGTGCCAATGTTCCACCTGTACCTGGCAGTATTTTGTCCTCGGAAATTAGAAGTAACATAATAGCATCGGTACAAAATCCTCAAAGTTCTGGACGTCCTGAAAAGATGGCTACGTGGAGCACGGCAGTTCGGACATTAAGGAATATTACTAATAATGCTGATATTCAGCAAGTTAATAGGCCGTCAAATGTAGCACATGTAAGTGTTTTAAAGTATAAATTAATGAACCATTTCTTGAGAGTGAACCTTTGCTTCAGTACTGTGAACTATGAAATCACCCAATTAAAGAACTCTTAACTCATAAATTGTATGAGTTCTAGTTAATTATACTTGCATACAAGTAAAAACATTTTTGAAGCAAAAGGCATATTGTTTTGTGTTTTTTAGATGATGTGGGAATCTCAGAGCAGGCATCATCTTAAAGGTATTGCCTGATGTCAGAGTGAAGGGGAATGCCTCTTCAAAGGTGGCACATGCTACCAGAGGTTTTTATAAGTACTGTAGAATGTCGGTTTTTTAAAAAAATGTGCCTTATTAAGGATCTTGAGTTATCTGAGTAAAATTTTAGATCTGTTAGTAAGTAATAATGTTGCAGTCCTAATCCATTTTAACTCATTGCAAACTTGTTTTAAAGTGTTGTGCTGTGTGGATATGTTTGGGTTTTGATTTAGATAGGGCTGGGATGTGGCATCTATTAGGGCTGCCTCTGGTGGCCTTGGAATTAGGGAAGAAGGGTTATGGGGGGCATATGGCTTGTTTCCTCTTACTCCCTAGGTCTGCTTTCCTGCTCTAAAGAGCATGAGTGCAAATTTCCTTAGCCAGCCAGCCAGCATGATACTTAAATCCTGCAATAGCACAGGAGTGCCATTGCATTCTCATCACTAGAGCTTTCCTCTGTTGGCAGTGGTTGCTCACCTTACTTGAGAAGACATCACTCCAGCACAACCTGGAATAAAGATTCCTATGCAGGTTTATTCATATGGGTGGGATGGCAGTCATCCAAAGGGAGTATGCAAGTGTATTGTTTTCAGCTGCTCTGGCCACTAGGTCCCAATATATTTGGTAGGTTAAAAGCACAGAAATATGTTACAAGTTATTAAGCATTGCAGTCCTGAAGTAATTCATTTGGGAGCAAGTTATCTTAAACTCAAAGGCACAGATTTGTTTAGAAGATTGTTTATTTGAAATCAGTGGGGCGTACTTCCAAGCAATGTTCCCTCTAAGCTGCGGAGTCTTGTGAGCAAAAATTCTACTTTGTGAGCGACTGGTGTAAAAGTTGTGAGCGAGCGATTTGACTACTGCATGCATTAGCTTGCTCTGGAGCCCTCCTTCCTGAGCTAAGACAAAAATGTGTGAGCCAGAAGCTAAAAAGCTGTGAGCTAGCTCACACTAACTCAGCTTAGAGGGAACAGTGCTTCCAAGTATTTTGTTTTAGAATCAGAACTCCAGGGATTAACTTCTGCTTGCCAATAGGTAGTACTGGTTGAGGGCATGAGCTGTCTTCTCCAATTTTCACAAAGAATGTTTCCCCATTTACGTAAACTTACGTGTCGTATTTCAGTTGATTGTAGTAGATGAAAAGGTTCAAAATCAGGTAGAAGTTGAAAATAAACATTCAGGTTTTACTTTTGTAGTGATAGCAAACGAAGCTATAGCTGTGTTTGGGTGGTGTACTTAAATATATATAAGTTAAAACGTGCTTGATTGACAGCCTTGGGCCAGTTTGGTGTAGTGGTTAAGTGCACAGACTCTAATCTGGGAGAACCGGGTTTGATTCCCCACTCCTCCACTTGCACCTGGATGGATGACTTTGGGCAAGCCATAGTTCTGGCACAGCTGTTCTTGAAAAAGAGCAGTTTCTGTCAGAGCTCTTGCAGCCCCACCTACCTCACAGGATGTCTGTTGTGGGGAGGGGAAGGAAAAGGAGTTTGTAAGTCGCTCTGAGACTCCTTCGGGTAGTGAAGGGCAGGGTATAAATCCAACCTCTTCTTCTTCAACCTCACTCCTCTTCCTTTCCTTGTGTGGAGTAGAGCAGGTCCCAGTTAGAAACTAATTTTGGCTATTTGTGGTGTGTGGATACATTAGTGTGAGTTAAATTGGTTAACAATGGTTGATTTTTGTGTCTGAATGCAGCTGTTTATCTGTAAAAACAAGGAGGGACATATATAAGACAGGAAAACCCATTTCCCCTCTAGTCACTGATGGTGTTCTTGTGCCATTTTGGATCACCGTGTCACCCTGCCTCCATCAACTCTTTTTTTTTTTTTTAATTAACTTGGGGAGGGTGTTAATACAAAATTAGGGATCCCCCCCCCCCCGGTTGGATTTTTCTGCAGAACTAGGTGATTGCTTGGGTTCGTTGCCTGACTGACTCTGTTGCATGTATTTGCCTATCAGAGTGGGGCCTGACCTTAGGTATTTAAATTTAAAGATGGAAGATAGATGTATAGTTAATGGAAACCAAGCTTGTCTGTCTTTTAGATGATGTAATAATTCTTTCATACATCATGGTTGAAGAGGAAAAAGTGTCTCTATTCTGTTTATACTGGTTTGCATTAAAATATTGCATTTCCTTTACTATATTTTAAGAACATAAGAACATAAGAGATGCCAATGTTGGATCAGGCCAAAGGCCCATCCAGTCCAACACTCTGTATCACACAGTAGCCAGAAATACCAGTGCCATCAGGAGGTCCACCAGTGGGGCCCGGACATTAGAAGCCCTCCCACTGTTGACCCCCCCCCCCAAGCACCAAGATGACAGAGCATCACTTGCCCCAGAGTCCCTATCTATACCTTGTGGCTAATAGCCACTGATGGACCTCTGCTCCATATGCTTACCTAATTCCCTTTTGAAGCCGTCCATGCTTGTAGCTGCCACCACTTCCTGTGGCAAAACATAACATTAATGCAAAACATAACATTAATGCTGCTTTTTTCTTCCTGGAGTTTTCACACATTCTGTGAAATTGCCTAGTGTGCTATCAGTGCATTAGTTCTTTGAAAAAAATCACATTTGTGAAGGAGCACTGAAAAATAGCATACATGTTCATTTTAGCAGAGAAATCTAGCAGACACCTGCTTTCTGTTTCAGTGCATCAGTGGTCTTTTGCCTTCTTATGAAACCCTAATGATATATACTCCTAACTTGTTCACCTTTGGTTTATGCTTTTAAATTTTCATAGAAATATGAAGATCACAAACATCACCTTTGTTTTCTAGATCTTACAATCCCTTTCAGCACCTACAAAAACTTTAGAGCAGCAGGTAAACCACAGCCAACAGGGACATTCAAATGCAGTGTTGCTTAGTCAAGTTAAAATGACGCCTGAAACGCACTTACTGCAGCAACATCAACCGCAGCAGCAACAGCAGCACCATTCTCTCTTGCACCTCCAGCCTCAGCAAATCATGCAGTTGCAGCAGCAGCAGCAGCAGCAACAACAGCAGCAGCAGCAGCAGCAACCTCCAGTTGCTCAGCAGCCTTTTCCTCAACAACCTCATCAGTTTGCTCCACAACAGCAGCAAGTTCATCAGCACCAGTTTTCTCAGCAGCAGCTACAGTTTCCTCCCCAGCAGTTGCATTCCCAACAGCAGATCCATCGCCCTCAGCAGCAGTTACAATTTCAACAACAGCATGCCTTGCAGCAGCAGTTGCATCAGTTACAGCAGCAACAGCTACAGCAGCAACAGTTACAACTACAACAGCAAAACCTTCAGCAACAGCTGCAGCATCAACAGCAAATTCAGCAGCAACAACTGCAGCAGCAACATTTGCAGCGAATGCAGCAGCAGCAGCAACAACAACAACAAATTCAAAATCCACCATCACAACACTTGAGTCAAACTTCTCAGGTGCTACAACATCAGGTTCCAGTTCAGCCACCACAACATCCCCAGCCACAGCAGCTGCAGCAACATCAATTGTTTGGGCATGATCCTTCTGCAGAAAGTTAGTAATCAACCCATTTTGTTCTTGCGCAAAGATTATTAGGTTAACATTCAGAATGTGTAATACTAAGGATTTTTAATTTGAGTTGACTATAGTTTCCCTGTAGAGGGAGGCAGTGGCAAATCTCCTCTGAATGTCTCTTGCCTTGAAAATCGTATGAGGGTCACCATAAGTCAGCTGTGACTTGACTGCAAAAAAGAAAAGTATCTTGGTACAGTAGCTGTACCTTCAGAAGTATTCAGTGAAGATTTTTCTCTTAACGCAGGTGAAATATTTATTTACAAAGCTCAACTAAGATACTGTCTGAGTCAGAATACATTTACAGTGTTGTAAACAGTGTCATCTTCAGTATTATTGAGTTAATTGAAACCTCACATAAATTGCATACTAATCTCCAGGAAAGCTTGAAAATCTGTTGGGAGGGCATTGTGTTTAACTGCAGTGGTGGACTACATACAAAATTTTGTTTCAGTTCTGCATTTCAGATTTCTTTTCTACATTTCAAACTTCTTTTTAGAGACTTTCTTCCATTGATGAATTGTATTTGGTATGCAGAATACATTCTTTGAAGTCTGCTCTTCATTCAAATGCACTTAACAATAAATTTGAGTAGTTTGTGTACCCATAGTCTGTTTCCTACTAAACCCAGAGTGCTCTCACCAAGTTGTACACAAAAAACAAGTTTTCAAGATTACCTTGTATGGAGCTTTACCACTGGTAGGAGGAGAATCCCCCTACAATGAGCCTTGGGATGATTTGCACAAAGGGTTGTCCCAATCTCTAGAAATGCTGCACTGGTGGAATATTCTGAGTAGAGGCATCTCCTCTGCAGCACTAATCATCAGTATTGGGGGGGGGGCTGACTTCCCCTTACAAATATTCTGTAGTTAGGGCAAATGGCATTCTTTTTTATAATAGCTGATCTAAGAGTAAATGCATACCTAGATCTCTAATAATTCATTATGCTGTTAGCTGTGGTCTAAGATGATATTGTAGAGTATTTCATACTAATTTTGTTTGTATTACTTTTCTAGTTCCGGAAGAATATTTCTTATTGGGTTGCGTTTTTGCAATTGCTGATTATCCTGAACAAATGTCTGATAAACAGCTGTTGGCAACATGGAAAAGGGTAAGTATTTGGCTCATTTTTTGCTGTTTGTTTCATTTGTGACAGTATTGGGTTGTTGTTTTTTTGAGAGCTGTTCTAAATCAACATTGGATTTAAAAAATTGCACTTTTTGAAAAAAGCAGTGGATTGATTTTAATACTGTCTAAGCTAATGCTGTATAAAATAAAAATGTTAAAGCCATAACAATCTGTCGCCTGAAAACTATACAATAATAATCTGATCCTCTCAATCCTCTTCCTTCTATTCACTCCACCCTCTTGCTGACTTTAAATGTAAATTTTACCTTTTTTAATTACTGGCTACAGCTGGAGCTCACCTGCTAAAATTGTCCACATCTTATTGTTCATGATTCTTTGATATTATGAAACATTCTTATATAAGTGGGTTGTTTGTGTCATAGATATAGTATGGATTCTTAAGGAAGGCTGCTAGATTAGAAAACTTTTAAAAGTCTGCAGTTTTTATTGGTTTTCTAGATAATCCAAACACATGGTGGAACAGTAGATCCCACGCTCACAAGCCGATGTACACATCTTCTCTGTGAAAGTCAACTTAGTAATATGTATGCTCAGGTAAGACAAGAGAATACACAGTGACCTGAATTTCTGACTTGCAAGTCTTAACCAAGAACAGCATTTTCATTTACCAAATGGCAAAAGGTCTTCTTTCCTGTTAGAGATATGCAGCTTGCCATGGGTTCATTTGTGTATGCTTTACTTCCAAGTTGCTGAGAGCCCATATGAAGATCACTATGGTGTGGATGAGTCTCTATGGTTCTCTCAAGCATTTTGGGAGGTGCTGGAAGAATCAGTGAACTGGTGCTTCTTAGTCAATCCAGCGGTCTTGGAAGCAGGCCATAGCAAGCCAGCTGTTTCCTACTGAGCTCTAAGCTGGAGAGGAAGGTGGAGAATAAACCCTGCAGTTGCACCATAACCGTGATACACCAAATACTTTTTAAGTAGACTAAAACTGTTGCCGCTTATCCATCAGTCCTCCCCAGCTTCCAAATTAGGCCGGTGTGATGCTTTTTGTGGCAAGTACACTTGTGAAATTGTACATCTTGTTAAAGAATTCTGGAATTGGATGAGTGTGATTCATTCTCAAGTATGTGGGCAACTTGCTACCATATAATTTGTGCGACTGACACAGACGTGGATGGTTACTAGACAGCTTGATGTTACACAAACTTGCCTGGGCCCAGCAATGACTTGCCTTAATACACAGTTTTTGTAGCTTGGCCAGACTTTTCACAGGGAGAGGCTGCCGGGGAAGGGGAAGAGGAAAAGCAGAGAGCCTGTGTGATATAGTGATATGTTTGTTGTAGCAGTAAGTTCTAGACCTCATTAAGGACATAAGAAGAGCCCTTCTGGATCAAACCACTGGTCTGTGTCATCTACAGCCTGACTCACACAATGACCAACCAGTTACTCTGGAGAGCCAACAAAAAGGCATAGAGGCCAAGGCCTTCCCCTGATGTTGCCTGTTAAAATTGGTTTTCAGAAGTTTACTGCCTCTGAATGTGGAGGTTCCCTTTAGTCACTATGGCTGTTAGCTGCTGGTACACCTGTTCTCCTTCAATCTGTCCAATCGTCTTTTAAAGCTGTCTATGCTTGTAGCCATCACTACATCCTCTGGCAGTGAATGCCACATTTTAATCACTCATTGTGTAAAGAGGTATTTTCTTTTGTGTTGCCGTGATGTTTCTCTGTTAGAGGATATCATGTATCAAGGAACCATGTCTGTAGACAATATGTCAAGCTGCAGTCTTAGAAAGTAAAATTTTATAATTGTAAAACAGATTGGATCTTTCCACCTTCCAGAAAAATAACTTGAATACAATAAATGTTGTACTAGATGAACAGTTTTGAAAGTTTTGTAAATCAAAAGTACCTCTTGACAATTTTTAAAATATTGTGGTATAGCAGTTCATTCTGTTATCTGAAAAAGCTGTTATTCCCAAGGGAAACTCCTATCTTTAGAATAGCGCTCTACTTTGTTAAAATGAACCGTCATTTTGTTTGATTCTGGTTAGCTTTGTGAAACAAATCATTTTCCAAATGAAGGACTGTGGCTGAGAGAAACTTGCCAAAGTTCAGACAATGAACCCATGTAAGAGGAGCGACTCCCCAGGTTATAGTGAAGTTCAGTATCAATCCCATACTGGTTTTAAAGTAGTTGAAAATTTTGTAAATCAAAAGTACCTCTTGACAATCTTTCTTTAAAGCATCAGTTTTTGTACACTGCTTCTAAAATGTAGTAAATTAAAATCTACAGTGATAGTATTTTGCTGCTTATGTGAATTGTAGGCTTTGAGAGAGAGGAAGAGATGTGTTACTGCACATTGGCTGAATTCTGTGCTAAAGAAAAAGAAAATGATACCACCCCATCGAGCTCTTCATTTTCCAGTAGCATTTCCACCAGGAGGGAAGCCATGTTCTCAGCATGTAAGAAAACTAAATCTAGTATTTTGCTTTTGTGGGTTTTTTGTAAGTGATATTTTCTCTGAAAAATGCATAATCTGTAGCACTCACATTTTTCCCAGTTGTTGAAATAATTACAATTACAGGAATAAATTAGGGATTCTTTTCATCCTGGTTCTAAGCACCATATTTGAAAGTAAGTCCTGAAAACCAGTGAGGTTTATTTCCATTGTGTGTGACATTTTTTTTTCTCCCCCACCCTAAAAAAAGTCCTAAATAAATCGCATATTTACCTCAAGATGTTGAGCTGTTAGTTTTGTTGTGCGTGCACATGGAAACTTATACACAGAATTAAACTTTGTTGGTCTTAAAGGTGCTACTGGACTCAAACTTTGTTCTGTTGCTTCAGCCCAACACAGCTACCCACCCGAATCTATCTTAAGTATTACTGAATTTATTGCACATTGCATAAAGGTGTTTATGGCATGCTAATTTCAAGGTATTAGGAAAATGACCTCCCAATGATTCTGCTACCTTATATTTAAAATTTTGGAAATGGACCATTTTTGTCAGTACTCAAGTTCTTTTGACCCCTGTAGGGTGAGCCTTCCTAGACTGAACAATCCCATTGTAGTATAACTAAGAAGAAAGACTGCTTGTCTGGCAGCAGTTGAATGTTCAAAGCAAATGATAAATGGAAAGTGGCTGAGTCAGTTCCACAGGGAACTGAAACAGAAAACTTGGAAAGAGGTGAGGGCCCTTACAGATAAAATTCCAACCAACAAAGGAGTAAAACAAGGGTGTGTTTTGGCTCCCCTTCTTTTCAACCTATTTCTCTCTGATTTGTCTGGTGCGCTGGATTCAGTGAATGGCCATCCCCCCAGATTAAGGGGCAGAGCAGTGCCTCTCCTTTTATATGCCGATGATACAGCAATTATTTCTGTTACCAAAGTAGGTCTACAATGATATCTGAGGGCTTTTGAGAAGTATTGTAGAGGCAATCAACTTCAAATTAACTATTCTAAAACCAAAGCAATAGTTTTTTCTAAAAAATGGGTCCCCCTTAGCTGGTATATTGGTAAGGCGAAAATCCAGCAAGTTAAGAGTTATAAATATTTGGGTGTTACATTCAATTTTAATCTCCAATGGGCAACTCACAGGAGAAGGTCTATTAGTTTGGGGAAATTATCTTCCAACCAATTAAAATCTTTCTTTTTCTCCAAAGGAAACCAATTTGTGCCTGCCGCCATTAAAGTTTTTAATACTAAAATTTTACCCCAAGTTCTTTATGGTGTGCCTATATGGTTCAGTGCTTTTAACTGTGAAGTTGAATCAATACAATCATCCTTTTTTAGACAAATTATGGGTTTCCCAAACTGTGTCTCTTACCATGCATTGTGCTCTGAATTAGGACTTAGTTTGATTGAAACCAAGACATGGGTGTTAACGGTCCGTTACTGGCTTAAATTATATTTTAACATTGAAGATGGTTCGCTTTTGTCTTTTCTGTTAAAGGAAATTCATAGTACCTCTTGGGACTATAATATTCGAACCAAAATAAGATCTTTGGGCCTCTCCTTGGAGGAGCTAGCTTTTTCCTCTGAAGTGTATATCTTCCAAACAATCAAACAGAGGCTGGTAGATATTGAACTTCAAAAACTGCAGCCCCTTCATCCCCCTGTCTGTTCTTCAGCTACATTAAGTCTTAAGAATGTTGTGGGATGTATCCCCCTGTATTTGTATAATCTTGATAGCCCTAGCCACCGAAGAGCGTTTTCTCTTGCTCGAGTAAATGCCTTTCCATCAAAACTACTGTATGGTAGGTTTCAAAATATTCCTAAGCATGAACGGAGATGTGACTGCGGTTCTAACTCTCTTGATTCAATTGATCACATATTGTTAGACTGTTCGTGGCATGCATCTGCTAGGGAAAAATGGTTAAACACTTGGTTGCATGGTAAACATCACCTTTCCAATGAAATAAAATGCCAATTTCTTTTGAACGATGTAACAGCAGAGATTACTGTGGCAGTGGCCAATTTTTTAGTGGATGTGATGAGAGTGAAAAATTTGGGAAAGTCCGTTTCATGATTTTATAATTAACCTAGACTTTTAGTTGATTGTGTCATTTTCTGTCTTTGATTCTAATGTTGTATATGCCATTAAAGGTTTATTGATTGATTGAAAGAGGTGAGGGAAGGTTGGTTCCCAGCAAAGGCAATCTGTTTAGGAACAGGGTCATACTTCTAGTAGTACATTAATTGATAAATGTGGAGGAATAGCTGAGTCATTTAATTATTATTTCAACTCTTGCATTAGTTATTTATAATTATTTTGTTCTTCTCCTTTACCAGATAATCTCAGTGACGGGTTTTGTAGATAGTGACAGAGATGATCTCAAACTGATGGCCTATTTAGCAGGTGCAAAATACACAGGCTATCTTTGTCGCAGCAACACTGTTCTTATCTGCAAGGAGTAAGTAATGTATCACAGTCGCATTCGGTAGTAACTCTCTTGAATCTTCTGGAATGATAATTCTGGTAGCATCAATGCCCCTCTAGTCCCGCAGATTATTCAGACACATCGCTATTGGAATAAAGACAGATTATTTTTCTCTGGTATTTCGAATCATAGTAGATAGCTTACTTCTATTTATTGTTAAACCATATCATAGTCTTAACAATGCAATCCTAAAGAGAGTTACTCCAATCTGATCATTTGAATGGGTTTAGACTGGAGTAACTGCATAGGATTGCACTGTGAATTTGTTTTATATTTGATGGAAAAGGAGGCCAGCCTCTGCATCATTTCCATTTGTATGCTTTTACTACCCTTTGAGCTTTTCTTGAAGCCAGTTACACATTCAAGTTTGCAAATCATCTGTTATGCTTGAGTGCAACCTCAGTGTATAAAAATTATAACAGCTTAGAAAAGTAGTATACAATCCAGGGAGAAGTCAGTGACGTCTTAGTTTATGTGTGAACATACTTTTTACATGTTTCTCTTTTTTCTATAAAGGCCTACAGGCTTGAAGTATGAGAAAGCCAAAGAGTGGAGAATACCATGTGTGAATGCCCAATGGCTTTGTGATATATTACTTGGAAATTTTGAAGCACTACGGCAGATACAGCACAATCGATACACGGTGTTCAGCCTCCAAGAACCACTTGCTCCTAATCAGCACCTTGTTCTCAACCTTCTTGGTAAGTAGTCCTGCCAAACATGCAAACCTACCAATAATTCCTTAGAAAACATATTGCTGCTTAGTCTTGTTGGACTTGGCGTATGTTTGGGCATGCCTGACTGGATGCAGCTTGTACTCCTGAATCAGTGGCTGGAGGTTTATGGGAAGTAGAACCTAAAACAAAAGGTGGTATGCATCACCCTTCCCTGTGTGGGCCGCAGTGGTTCCACGATTTCTTGTAGTTGCTATGCAGTCTTTTGAGAATGTATGTGATGCTGAAGAATCTAAGGAGACTGGCTGCTGAAGAGTCTAAAGAGACTGGCTGGAATAAAGTGTATTGGATTTAAAAAACCCCACTTCAGTATTAAATGTATTCTTATTTGTTGTTTTGTTTTATGGCTGTCAGATGCTTGGAGAGTGCCACTGAAGGTATCGACAGACCTTCTCATGGTATGTTGGATTGGGTTATTTATCCTTACTGTTTCAGTGACAAACAGAGAAATTGCTTCAAGGAGAAAGAACATAAACTGTAAAAGTTGTGGAGCAGGTGCATCAATGAGACCATTTGATTTTAGTTCTTGAATATTATAATTCTTGAATATTATAGTTGGCAAACTGATCTTGAATATTATAGTTGGCAGACTTATTCCCAAATAATCAGGCCCAGCAACTGAAGCAGGCACCCCCTGCACAATTATCAGAAATCAGTAGTTTTAAATCTGTTCAAAAGCCTTTTACTGTTGCAATGATCTGATTCCCCAGAAGCAGTTGTTCTGCCCTCGCTCTCCCATTTCCCCCAGTTGTACTGCTCAATTTCCCACTATTTACTGCGCGGCCGCATTTTGGACCTGAATCTCCCCCCGATTTCTCCCGTGTCTTCTTGATCCTTATTTTTTAGGACCAAGAAGACGCGGGGAAAATTGAGGGGAGATGCAGGTCAAAATGCAGCTGCACAGCAAATAGTGGGAAACTGAGCAGTACAACTGGGGGAAACGGGAGGCTGAGGGCAAAACAACGGCTTCTGGGGAATCGGTCTTTCTTTTTTTTTTTTTTGCTATATGGAATTGTTAAAGATTTGTCTAAGACTAGAGTTAGGAAATCAAATATTGCCAATCTGATACAATGTCTGATATTTCCTAGATAGGCTTTCATGGTGTCAGATATTGCCCATCATTTCTCAGTATTTCCTTATTCCAATATTTTCCTTCTTATAAATATTGGAAATTTCCAGAATCAGGTCAGGAAGTCTTTCACTGTTCCAAGCTGGTATGCAGTGCATTGGCCCTACCAACTTTAAAGGATCATAATTTTCAGGGGGAAGGCCTGGCCTCTGATCTTCAGAGGCTAGGCCTAACTCCACTGGTAATTAGCTCTTTAAAGGGAATCAGGGGGGGGGGGGGGGCTTTAAGTAATAGATGGTAGACTTAGATGCCAAACTCCAAAGGCCAGGTCTACTGCCCATTACAGTACAGTTAAACTGTAAAGGGCCATTATTTCCAGCGAGGATAGAACTGGCTTCTGAACTCCCACTGAAAATCATGGCCCTTTAAAATTTAGAGCTGACTGGAAGCCTGAGGCCCTTCCTCCCTCTCCCTTCCTATTTTTGCGGCCTCTGCAGAAGGGAAGGCACTTGCAAAATTACCATTTTGTACTTCATTAAACATTGGGAGCATTGTGTCAGTATGTCTTGGTTGGTTTTCCTGCATGATAATAGTGCTCGCCATATTTAACAAAAAATGATAATACTGCCCTTTCCAGTGTTCCAATACGGAGTTAAAACAATAATTTTGTAACAGGACATCCCTACTAAAATAATCTATGTGGCAGGGCAGTCTCTCATCCGTGTCATTGTAAACCTCTGTGCATCCCATGCAGCCATTCTGCTTGCTTATGGAATATGTTTGCAGAGGGTCTGCCAACTGAGTTGTAATCCATGACAGACTTGACTGAAACATTGAGCTTCTCTCATATGAGCAATGTCAGGTCTTGTAGACTTGGTGACTAATTAAACAGCACACAAGTTTTGTTTGTAAATTGTTCTCTCCCCACCCCTTTATTTCCAGGGTATGAGATTACCGCTTAAACCAAAGCAGAATGAATCAGTAATTCAGCCTTCAACCAAGCGGCCAAGGTGAGGGGTGGGGGAGGCAATCGTCACCAGTTTCAGGTTTGCAAATAGTATATTGATACCAAAATTTATAAAGGCAGTTTTCAATTTAATAGACATTGACCTTGAGTAATTGCTACATTATCATATAGCTGATGATCTGGAGATAAATGTGTGTATATGTACTGGGGAGGTGGGAGTGAAGGTTCAAATTCAGAAGCTTTAAAATTCAACATAAATGATAAGGAACATGGCGTGGAAGAGAGAGAAGAGCACATACACTTGAGAGGGGACAGAAAAGATCTTGAAGCATCACTTATAATTTTTAAAGTACTGCTACCCATGGTTAGTTCAGCCCAAAGAGTATGCCATCTGAACCAAAGGGTGGATATTTGTAGTGCTAAATGGGCAGGTTTTTGACTTGTTCAGATTTTCAGTCCCACCTATAATTTGAGAGATTGAATCATGCATCAAATTCTGTGCTCAATATAAAAATATTTTATATTTGTAGAATTGAAGACTTGCCAACTCCTACTAAAAAACTGACACCAGAATTGACTCCAGTGGTGCTCTTCACAGGATTTGAACCTACACAGGTTCATCAGTACATCAAGGTACATTTCTTCTTTTACTTAAATACAAGAAAAGACTTTGTAGTCGCTTCTTCTGTTTATAAGGCTGTCTCTTAGTGATAAGTTCAGGAGATTGCACGATTAGCAAAACGTTAGGATCCTAAGACTTTGGCAAGTAGTTCTATTTAATGGTACACAAGTGGGGCGAGGCTAGTAACTTGGATATGCCTGTAGTTTGTTGAATCCTGGCTACTGCACTTGCCAGGCATTTTTGATAATTTTATAATTTTAAAGAAGAACACTAGTGCTTAATCCCCCTTTTATATGAATGAAAATTGTGATTTTTATGGCACATTGTTCAGTCTTTTTCGTTTAGGAAACAGATACTGTGGTTTATGAAACACTGGTAAAAGAGTCCAACTATGCATTTGTAGAAATAATGAATTGGTCTTAAATTAAGAAAAATGAGGACTTGTAGGTATGTGATAATTGAGGCATAAGGTAAAGTAAAGGTAAAGGTTCCCTTGCTTGAAAGCCAGTCGAATCCGACTCTAGGGTTGCGGTGCTCATCTCCGTTTCAAAGCCAAAGAGCCAGCGCTGTCCGAAGACATTTCCGTGGTAATGTGGCCGGCATGACTAAACACCAAGGTGCACGGAACGCTGTTACCTTCCCACCAAAGTGGTACCTATTTATCTACTTGCAATTTCTTGCTTTCGAACTGCTAGGTTGGCAGGAGCTGGAACAAGAGACGGGAGCTCACCCCGTCATGTGGCACACTCAGGTCTCGAACTGCTGAACTACCGACTTTCCACAGCCTGCAGTTCAGCGTCTTAACCACTTGAGCCACCACAGCTCCATTTGAGGCATACTAGTATGTTAATGTAGATTGCATGCTAACTATAAATATACGTTGATGGGGTCCGAACTGGCAGAGACTGGCCAAGAGAGAGATCTTGGAGTCGTAGTAGATAACTCTCAGAAAATGTCAAGACAGTGTGTGACTGCAATAAAAAAGGCCAACACTATGCTGGGGATTATTAGGAAGGGAATTGAAAACAAATCAGCCAGTATCATAGTGTCCCTGTATAAATCAATGGTGCAACCTCATTTGGAGTACTGTGTACAGTTCTGGTTACCGCACCTCAAAAAGGATATTATAGCATTGGAAAAAGTGCAGAAAAGGGCAACTAGAATGATAAAAGGTTTGGAACACTTTCTCTATGAAGAAAGGTTAAAACAGTTGGGGCTCTTTAGCTTGGGGAAATGACGGCTGAGGGGTGACATGATCGAGGTTTATAAGATTATGCATGGGATAGAGCAGGTCGAGAAAGAAGTCCTTTTCTCCCTTTCTCACAATACAAGGACTCATGGGCACTCAATGAAATTGCTGAGCAGTCAGGCTAGAACAGATAAAAGGAAATCCTTCTTTACCCAAAGAGTGACTAACACATGGAATTCACTGCCACAGGCTACAAGCATGGACAGTTTCAAGAGGGAATTAGATAAACATATGGAGCAGAGGTCCATCAGTGGCTACTGGCCACAAGGTATAGATAGGAGCTCTCAGTCTGGGGCAAGGGATGCTCTGTATTCTTGGTGCTTGGGGGGGAGGGGCAACAGTGGAAGGGCTCCTAGTGTCCTGGCCCCACTGCTGGACCTCCTGGTGGCACCTGGCATTTTTGGCCACTGTGTGACAGAGTGTTGGACTGGATGGGCCATTGGCCTGATCCAACATTGGCTTCTCTTATGTTCTTATTGGCTTCTCTTATGTTCTTATGTGCTTGGGCCATTTTAGAAAGAACTTTCCTGTCATCTTAAATTGCCTCAGATGTTGAGAGTTTCTGTAGAGTTGGTTCATGCCCTCGGCTGCCAGACGTTAGGTTTCTAGTAATCAAAACAATGTATGAGAGGTTCTAATTTGTTCTCTTTGCATTTTTCAGAAACTCTACATTCTTGGGGGTGAAGTAGCAGAATCTGCCCAGAAGTGCACACATTTAATAGCCAGTAAAGTGACCCGAACTGTAAAATTCCTAACAGCAATTTCTGTTGTAAAGCATATAGTAACTCCAGAATGGTTAGAAGAATGTTTCAAGGGCCAGAAGTTCATAGGTAAGTAAATGCTGATACTGGTTAATACAGGAGAT